TTCCGGTTCCAATATCTCAAGAACCGCCGGTTCCGGTTCCGGTTCCGGTTCCTGTCAAAAAGGGCGGGTACCCGCCTATGCTCACCCCTAGGGGTAACGAGGCAATTGCGGTTTGATTATTTCTTTTAGATTTATAGGCGCTGGCTGCCATATTTAATTCATTGATGAAATTTAATAATTGATGTTCTGAATATCCATCTATATTCCATTCATATACTGAAGTACCATCATATTGACTTCGATTTAAGGCAAAGTCTATATCTTCATATTGAACGTCAGGAAACGTTGACCTAGGATAATAATTAAATGTTTGTGGTCTACTAGTAGAGGTAGAATTATTTCCTTTATRTCTAAGTCTATTTACTTTATTCATATGGTTTATAAATTGATTTTGTATTTGAGAAATCTCGTCATTATCCTCATCAGATGAACTATCATTGTCTTGATTTTGACTAATAGTATTTATTTTTAGATCTTTATTTAAATTCAGTCCTGATAATTTTTCTCCTAATTCTTTAATTAATTTTGGACTATATCCTAAGTTGGCATTATCAGTTATTTCTTGAGGTTTGAATAAAGGACTGGATTCAGATTCTATTATTTGTTTAGAAGTATTATCTATTTTTTCTTATTTATTTTGATTACTTTCTATTCTATTTAATTGTTGACTCATTGTATTTAATATTTCATTTGTATAGTTATTTTGATAAATAATGTCTTTTGTTAATTCGTCTTTAAGAGATCCTGTATTTATTTTAACTAAAGGTACTGCTAAATAATTGTCTTGGATATGTATTTTAGTTTTTGGTGGATGAATAGAAGTTACATCTTTATCTTCCGCTACATCCCTATATGTTTGAGTAATCTTTGGTGTTTGATAAAGTTTTAAAAATGGATTATTTTATATTATTTTGTAAGCATAATATTTCATACCATTCAAAGAAAGTTGTATGAACATTATTAGTTCTTACAAAATTTCTCCAATCAATTTGATGTCGTAGTTCTGTTTGATAATTATTAACATGCTTCGTATACCAATCTCTTTTCTTTCTATTATGCTCAGCCATGTATTCGTTGCTGAGAAATTGCATATCTACTTTAAATTCCATTGTCTTAATGGGTATATTTGTTTATAGCATCTTTTAATAATTTTATCCATATATGGTTAATTTTTATTAATCTTTTATTAAATCGTTTATTGTAGTATATTGATTAAAGTATAGATGATAAGGATCTTGAATATGCATGTTTATTGGATTATTATTGTATAGTTGATTGAGTTCTACTTCTAGGGTTTCTATAGCTTTTTGATTGTTTCTTAAATTTTTCCATTCTCTTTTAAGATAATCTACTCTTATCTTATTATCTGGACAAGCATTTATTTGTATTTTATTGGCCATTTAACATATTACTAACTTATGTTCTTTTTCTTTATTATGATTAACATAGAATTCTTTGAAAAGATATTGAGACATTTTAGCAAATTATTAATTTATTTGAATAATGATTAATTTCTTTAAATTTAGAATTTATAATTTCTTTCACCCATTCAATTCGTGTTGAAATATTTGATAATCTTATAAATATATAACCTGGAACTATTTGATTATTTTGTTTTTGTTTTTGTTTTGAGATTTGTATTATTAATGTTTGTTTATCATTTTTTAATGTTTCTAAATATTCATTATCTTGAACCATTTCTATCCAAATATCTTCTATTATTCCTTTTATTATTATATTATCTTTATTACAGTTAATTTGAATTTTATTACTCATAATTGATTTTTAATTCTGTCTATTTCAGACTGAAAATCAGATCTAGTTGGACTGTATATACTATTATTATCATCGCTTTTACTATCATATTGATAGAGAGCTTTTGGAACAAACACTAAACTAGTTGTTAATTGTTAAAACTAACTATTTTTTCTCAGTGAAAACATGTTGGTCTCACGTGAATACAACCATATATGCAAGATTCTATGCCAATGGTCTCGTGACATATTTGGTGGCCACTGTTGGTAAACACTAAAACCGCGGTGAGTTTGCCAATTTATCGGAGAAAATCATCCCATAAAAAAGCTAAGTGTTATGAAAGTATGCTCTGAAATTACTAGTAAAAAGAATCAATATTCAAATGTTCTATATTACTCCATTTAAACAAGAATTTACCATATACACAACATCGTTAAAAATAATTATTACAACTTCACCAACAACAAAAACACATTCACACCATAGGGGTTGTTTGTTTACCTATTAATAGTTTCGTTAAGAGGCAGCATCTGAATCGTTAAAAGCTGAATCTTGTTTGACAAAAAAAAATTTGTCTGGACCTCCCTTAACCATTCAGTGCCCTAATTTCATTGTAAACAATTACCAAACAATTATATTTCATTTTACATTATATCATGAGAGTCTCTTAATCATTCAACAACTACCAAACATCCTGTAACATGTTACAAAATTGATTATATGACCTGATCATCCAATCATATGATCACTTATAATGTTTAAAAACATATGTTCCAAATCGTGGTTCATATAAAACTTTTGACTAACTGGTCTATATAATTCAACTAAAACTTTTGACCAACTAGTCTACAGAACTTATATATAACTTTAAACCAATTTTTATATATAACTTTTAACCAATTACTTTACAGAATTTAAGAAAAAGCCAAGAAAAATCAAACAAAAGTGATGATACACCACCATCTATTTTCTTCCCTACCACATCATAATATGATAACCACAATGTTGGTGTCTGATTGGTTTGAGTTTGGGCTCCAAAGATCAAAAGTGCTTGAAAGTCCCAGGTCTAAATCCAAGGAGGAATAAAAATCTTCTTATAGCCACGGAAGTTCAAATGCAGTAACTCTGGACTATCTGCAAAACAGATGGTCGGCTTGAGATTAATCGACTCGCATAGCAATTTAGATATCCAGGTTAATTAAAAAAACATGATCAATTTAGGTCCAAGATGGGGACCAAATAGAGACAACTTTCATTTAAAAGCAAATAATATCCTAAAACTAATTATTGTACTTCACACATGATCTCTTGTACTAGAAGTCTAGAATCAATCAAAACTTTTGACCATAAATCAATCATAACTTTTGGGTTTTTTATATATAATATTTATATATGAATAAATGAAACTTATACACCCATCTCACTTTGGGTAAGGTTAGAATCGACCTTTAGAAATATCGGATTACCAATTACCGTTGGACCAAAAGTCCTTCGGTAAATATGAGCACGCATGAACAAAAAGACCAAAAACTTGCAAATTGGAACGACCATTTGACATGAGCCACAAGTTAGGAGCTGTTTACCTAAATGTTTATCCGATAAGTGTTTACCGTTAGAAGTCAACACTATAACTTATATTTTGGGTAAGATTGTAGAATATCAAAATGGTATCGTATGCAACAATATATCTGGTAAGCCCTTACCCGGGTAAGAGTCGTTAGCCTCAGTTACCGGGTAAGAGACTCTATCATTATCATCGCTCTTACCAGGTAAGATTTTTAGGTCTTGCCATGTTCGTCCGGTGAGAAAAATTGTCTGGTAAGCACCTACCGGGTAAGCATTTAGTAAACAACCCCTTAGTATGCAATGTTAATATACGGCAAATGAAACTCAAACACCCATCTCACATTTGGTGAGGTTGGAACCTTTAACCTCTAGAAATGCTAGGTTACCAGATACTTGTAAGCCAAATATCCTTCGATAAGAATAGCATACTTGTTGACAAAAAGACCCTAAAACTTACAAATTTCATGTGAAACGAGCGTTTCACATGAACCCTATGAACCCGTCAATAGATATAAAAACGTATTTATGTCGATTTGAAATGACCACAAGCAGAAAAAATTGCAGGATAATCTTTATTTTGAAATGATTACAAGCAGAAAATTTCTTGTACAGTAGGTATTTAACATAATCCTCAATGTAGTATAAAAATAAACCAACCATATAACAAAGCCCTTTTCAACTACAAAGGATTGCTGGCTGAAATATATAAGAAACAACATCAGGTGGTATCGAGTTTAACTCCTCATTCATTCGTTCATTTACCCAACTCACTCCACACAAATTGACGTCCGCCAGTCTTTTAGTTCGCATAACATGAAAAAGGGAATAACGAAATAGAAATTAAAGAGTCAAAAAGACCAACCAACCAGAAACTTAGCCAAAAGCAACAACATCCATACTCGGAACTTAGAAGCACTTCCTGTGGACGATGGATGGGCCGGACTCGTCATATTCACCCTTTGAGATCCACATCTGATTCAGACAAAAGCAAAGCATGTTAGGGCATTGTTTGTTAACAGCTTAATGGGACTCTTACCTTATTTGATCAGCTATACATGACTGTTTGCTAGTGGCTTAATGACATAAAAAGTGGCTAATTCAGTAAGCTTCTAGGGGGGAGCTTTATGCAAAACCGAACCTGAACCTCCCAATTAAAAAACACGCTCCTTCCATCTATGGAAAAACCCTCCCAAACAAAACCTTTTTCAATCTATACTTAATCCACAGAGACAGCTTTATCCATACATGACTTAGGGTCTGTTTCTTAGCAGCTTAATGAGCTTAATAAAACTCACAATTTACTTGGTCGGTTATACATGACTGTTTGGTAGGTGGCTAGATAATATAGAAAATGGCTTATTCAATAAGTTTCTGGGGGGAGCTTTATGAAGAAAGCCAAGTTTTCTCCAAACTTGCCCCTCCCATTTAATCCACACCTACAATTTTATCCATGCAAAACTTAATGGAAAATCAACCAACCAACCCCTTAATGGAAAACCAACCATTCAGCCCCTTAATGGAAAACCAACCATTCAGCCCCTTAATGGAAAACCAACCAACCAGCCCCTTAATGGAAAACCAACCATTCAGCCCCTTAATGGAAAACCAACCAACCAGCCCCTTAATGGAAAACCAACCATTCAGCCCCTTATTGGAAAACCAACCATTCAGCCCCTTAATGGAAAACCAACCATTCAGCCCCTTAAGTCTCAGGTATTCATCATATATAATAATAGTATTCGAGGTAAATGAAGATTTTGATATACCTGTTGGAAGGTACTTAGCGATGCAAGGATAGATCCTCCGATCCAGACACTGTACTTTCTCTCCGGGGGTGCAACAACCTTGATCTTCATGCTGCTAGGAGCAAGAGCGGTGATTTCCTTGCTCATCCGGTCTGTAATTCCAGGGAACATGGTCGAACCACCACTGAGAACAATGTTTCCGTAAAGATCCTTCCTGATATCAACATCACACTTCATGATCGAGTTGTAGGTGGTCTCGTGGATACCAGCAGCTTCCATTCCGATAAGTGATGGCTGGAAAAGGACCTTCGGGCAACGGAATCTCTCTGCTCCGATCGTAATAACTTGTCCGTCAGGCAATTCATAATTCTTTTCAACAGAAGAGCTGCTTTTGGCAGTTTCTAGCTCTTGCTCGTAATCAAGTGCCACGTATGCAAGTTTTTCCTTCATGTCACGGACAATTTCCCGTTCAGCAGTGGTGGTGAACATATAACCTCTTTCGGTGAGAATCTTCATTAAGGAATCTGTAAGATCACGACCAGCAAGATCTAAACGGAGGATGGCATGAGGAAGTGTGTAACCTTCGTAAATTGGCACCGTGTGTGAAACACCATCTCCGGAATCCAAACAATACCTGCGAAAAAATATTAAACGGGTTTCAGCATTAGACAAAGGATCGTGTGAGGATAGGAGTTGAGATGAGAAGTGTAAGAAAGGGATTTGGACCCTTGATCAATTTTAATCCCAAAACAACCCATGAATTGCGTTTCAAAAGGGAAATGATCCCGTGTATCTCATAGTGTTGATCTAGTGGTTCTTTTCAATTAGGATTGATCCAGGGTGGAGATCCCTTCTCACCATAACTTTCATTCTCAACGGAACCCAACCCTTCAGCACCAAGCATAAGCAATTACATAATGAATAAAACCGCAAGATCAATGACGACTAACCGGTTGTACGACCACTGCATACAAGGAAAGCACAGCCTGGATGGCAACATACATAGCGGCAATGTTGAAGGTCTCGAACATGATTTGGGTCATCTTCTCTCTATTGGCCTTGGGATTTAAAGGTGCCTCGGTGAGAAGAACGGGATGCTCTTCTGGAGCAACACGAAGCTCGTTGTAGAAAGTGTGATGCCAAATCTTTTCCATATCATCCCAATTGCTGATGATTCCATGCTCGATTGGATATTTCAATGCAAGGATACCTCTTTTGGATTGTGCCTCATCTCCAACATAAGCATCCTTCTGACCCATGCCTACCATAACACCAGTGTGATGTGGTCTACCAACAATACTTGGAAAGACCGCCCTTGGTGCGTGATCACCTGCAAATCCGGCCTATAAATTTAATGACAAAGAAAACTGATTTAATTATACCAAAGGCAATAATTGATCTAATTCAAAAGGCAATATATATATAGAGAGAGGGTTCAGGAAACAACACCCCCCCCCCAAAAAAAAAACTGAGTAACATCTTAATAACCATTCATCCATACGGAATGCACATGTGCATACAAGTAATGTGCAAACCGTACAGATGAATGACAATTAGGGTATTCCTTAGTATTTCAAATTTTTACGGTTTTCACTTGAACTTGACCCTGCTCATGTGTGTATATATATAGAGAGAGGGGGTTCAGGGGAGAATCCCAAACAAATGAAAAACTGAGAAACACCCTGGTAACCATTCATCTGGACTATATGCACATGTGCATACAAGTAATTGAACTTGTTTCTTGGTTTATATGCACGTGTGCACGCTATGCACATGTGAATACCGGAAAAATCGCTTACAAATTACTTGCATGCACATGTGCATACCATCCAGATGAACGGTTACCAAGGTGTTCCTCAGTTTTTCATTTTTTGCAGTTTTTCACTAAAGCTGACCCTAATTCGCTTTCGCGTCTCTCTAAAATTGCAGTCATGGTAAAATCAACATATACATACATATTTTAATGATGAGTTTGAACCCACAAACCACTAGTTCAAGCGGATAGGTTGGTACCCGTTGAGTCAAAGACCACCAACACAAATAATACAATCAACAATATATAATAAGATAACTTAAAAAAACATAGAGTACACTAACCTTCACCATTCCAGTTCCATTGTCACAAACAAGGGGTTGAATATCCTCGGTGTCGGCCATTTTTTATAGAACTGTACCACAAACATCAAAACAAAATCTGTTGAGGACAACAAAATCTTTAACATCCCATTTGACAAAAAACATGCAGAAATATTTCATTAACATATAAAAGAAGGGTAGACACCACCCTCCCTCTGGAGCACCCCCACCGCACTGGTCGCACGGTTATCACAAGGGAGGTAAATCAGGCATACATCCCATTGAAGGAGTGGTGCCCAATCTCAAAACCCGAGACCTCACTCATATGGATTACAACCACACCTCTACTGCTACAACAGATCAGTGGGGTAGGGTCTGAGCCAAGAAATTTTGCAAAAAAAGTTCTTGCTCCAAACTTTCAATTTATGACAAATCACCAGCTGTACAACCTATTGACACAATTTCAAACAATCTTTTTATGAAAGTGTCAAAAAATTATTAATACTTGGACATCCAACTACACAAACCATGAAATGAGTGATAACTTGCGACCACTAAGATCCTACACATACCATTACCAAACCCTGGTCCGACCTAAAACAATGGATAAACGGGATGCATTGAAGAAACTTCACACCACATTCACCAATTATATTACACAACCCACGACCTTGGATCTTCACAATCACAGTTCTAAAAAGGCTCACCATGGTCCAATGTGCATTTTTTGTAAGGCGTTATTTGAATTTATTTTTACCTTTTTAGTGTTTTCTTTTTATGTTTAAGTATATAATCTACTTCTATATGGTCTTAGATTAGAGCAATAGAAGATAACAAATATGTATGTATATATATAAAGGGAGGTTCAAATGTGAACCGGGTCAAAATAAGAGAACACCATAACGACCAAATCACATGTGATTTTACATGGAAATCATGTGTGACTACTGAAAACAGCAATGCAAAGGTGTGTGGGCAACTTGAAAAAAGCAACCTAGGTCGCGGCCAAAGTCACCGCGTAATAAAATCACAAGTTAATTTGGCCATTTTCGTGTTCTCTTGTTTCGAGACCGTTCTTATTTGAAACCAAATCTCTCTCTCTCTCTCTCTCTCTCTCTCTCTCTCTATATATATATATATATATATATATTATATGTGTGTGTGATGTGTATGTATATTTGCCACGCCTTAAAAAGTCTTGGTGGCCTAGCCATGGCTGCAAAGGAGAATATACTATTTAAAACCTTGTTCACAATTTGACATATCCAACGAAATCAAACATAATATACGACTTAAACAGATCAGAAATTCCCTAGCTACAGATCACGGTAATCTAAGAAGATAATCCAACCATAATAAGAACAAATGCATGAACAAATCTGACTTATTCATATTCAAAATAGTACATCAGACATAAATTTCAAAAAGCAGATCCATAGAACTCAGAATCAGAACCGATAATCGTAACAGATATAGCAAAAAGGAAAGCGATGAGTACAAAATTGCTCATTGAAACAACTAAATCATGAAGAAAAAGGCAAGAACTTGAATTAAAACCCTCAAATACGCCATGTATCCTAATGAGTATCAACTGATTCAGCTTGGAAACTTAAAGCAACAAAATTTCATAAAGAAAACGTAGAAATGAAGCCGAGTACAAAGAAGATTCATGGATAGAAACAACAAACCCTTGAATTGATTGCTTAAATGAACCAGAAACAGATCGAAGAAGAAAGATGACCGCTTAACCTAAGCTTCTATTCTCTTCGCTGTGTCTGTACTTGTGTTAAATGAAAGAATTTAGGAGGTGTTTTTTTAAAACGAGAGACGAGATGATTCCGGCCTGAGGAATGTTAGGGTGACGTGGCGGTGACAGACTTGCAGAATGCAAGTTGTCCGGTCTTTTGATCTATTTTCACTTTTATATCTTCACCGTTCGATCAGCCTGTTCAATTTTGTATATGTCAATTATTTTTGGTTGTATGTGTTTAAATATTTTTATTTCTATATAAAATAAATGTTTAATTTAAAAAAAATAGATAACTAAATTTTAAATCTATTTTAGCATTTTATAAACTTTTTCAAAAAATTCTTTAAAATGGAAAAAATAGGATAAAAGTAGACTTTTTTTTAAAAAAAATTAAGGGTTGTTTACCAAACACTTATTCGATAAGTGCTTACCGGTAAAATCTAACACTATTATTTACTTACCAGGTATGATTTTAGTCGACCAGAACAACATCATATGCAACAATTTACCCGGTAAGTGTTTACCATGGTAAGAGTCGTCGTTTTCACTTACCGAGTAAGACTCATGGTCCTTGTCTCGCTCTTACCGGGTAAGATTCTTGATCCTTACCATATTCATCCGGTGAGGTAATGTCACTTGGTAAATACTAACTCAGGTAAGCGTTTGATAAACAGCCCCTTAGAGATTCGAAAACTATATTTTGTTATTCCAAGCACACCATATCTCCATCCAAGTAATGACATTAAGGATTTGTATCTTATTATTCGGTCAACTGTATATAATTGTTTGGTAGTGAATTAATGATATAGAAAGTGATTTATTAAAAAAACTTCTAGGGATAGACTTCATGCAGAAAAACAAGTTTTTCCTTCCAATTAAAAAGCATGTCCCTTCCATCCATGAGAAAAACTTTCTCAATCTATACAAACAACTTCATCCATACACAACTTTATGGAAAACGAACTAAACAACCCCTAAATAAGAAAAATAGAGAAAATATGTTTGTTAATTTATTATTAAATATTTTAATAATATAATCAATGTTGAAATTTCCCCAATAAAAAAAGTATTGAAATTAGACCTTTTTAGAGATTTTAACTTTACTGTCAGCGTTTTAAATAATTTTGATATAAATTGTTGGAGATACTCTAAAACACTATTCATACACAGGCCCAGCCCTAGGCACGTGCAGCCCGTACGGTCGCACAGGGCATCAAAGCCCAAAGGAGCATCAAAATTTTATATGGACTATAGTATTAGTTTTCATTTTTGGGTCTTTTAACCATTTGGATTTAAAAATTGAAGACTTGGGCTTTAAATCTTTACTGTAAACAAGCCCTCGCCCAAACCCAAGATTGAATTGGAGCATTGGACGCCCCTCATTTCACGCCACAGTTCACCCTTGCAGCCTTGTTGTTCCTGTTCGCCATTCGATTTTTTTGATTTTACAGAACGAGTGATGACGTTCCGATTCCAGAAGCATAGCCGCAGGGGATTAGGGGAAGATGATTAACAATAATGGTAACTATTCTAACGGACAAGGCAAGGGCAACGACTGTGTCCATGGCCTTGAATCGAGGAGTCGATGCGACGATTGGCTACTGGGTACTAGACTGGTCCGTCTGCCGAGTGCCGACTGCCATCTGCTCGACATGGACCATGGTAACTGGTAAGTCTCCTACTCTCCTAGACTCCACTATATACAGATATACTCGAGAGTCTCGAAGTCTCACTATCCCACATTCTATGATTCTAACAGATTAGATGTTTGAGCATATGTACCAAATTGTTTGATCTAATGATTAATGATTTGTTTCTCAAATCTCAATTCTTCAATTCATTCTTCAAATTTGAAATCTAGATAGTAGATACAGTTAATTGGAGGCTTGGATTTTGGAAATTGGAAGTCCGAAGTTGCCAAGTTGGAACTGTTGAACGAGTTTGGATTGGAAGCAGGGCCAAGTCTTCAAGTCTTCAAGAACGAGTCTTCAATTTGGAAAGGAAGCACGAGCTTAATCCAAGTTCTATCATTCTATGCTTGTTGCTTGACTATTGCTTGGGTATTTGTTGCTTGATTTTCATAGGTATTAGACATGTTTCCTATATCACAACCATCAGGTGCACGAAATAGAGAAAGAAAGAAAAGACAACAAGATATTGCCCAATCTTTACAGGGATCGTTAAATCAATATTTTGTTAGGCATGAAAATGTGTCTAAAAATCCCATTGAAAAAGTGCTTGAAAATCCCATTAGAAATGTTTCTGAAAATCCCACTGAAAATATTTTTGAAAATCCCACTGAGAATGTTTCTGAAAATCCCACTGAAAATGTTTCTGAAAATCCCAATGATTTTGTTGAAAATATTGAAAATTGGTGTACTAATGAAGTTGGGGACAATGAAAATCCATGTAATGATGAAGTTACTTTGAATATTTTTGATCCAAGGGTTTGGGATGATTTAGATTCAAAAATGAAAGATTTGCTTGCTGAAAAATGACCTATAAGGGAAACCAACATCAACTTTCCAAATGATAAAGTAGGTAGACACTTTTCTTGTGAACATTATGTCTGTAAATTACGAAATGATGATTCTTATGATAGAAAATGGTTGGTTTATTCAAAAGAGTTGGATAAAGTTTTTTGTTTTTGTTGTAAGATATTCAAAATTGCTTGGTCTAGAAGTCAATTAGCTACCAAAGGGATAAATGATTGGAGGCATTTAGGTGAAACATTATGTTTGCATGAAAATAGTTCTAAGCATATGATTAACTTGAGAACTTGGACTGAGTTGTGAGTGAGATTGAATAAAAATCAAACAATTGATAAAGAATTACAAGAATTGATTAATAAAGATACAGATAACTGGAAAGAAGTTTTGATTAGAATAATTGTTGTTGTGAAGTGTCTAGCACAATATAATTTGGCTTTTCGTGGATCAAATGAAAAAATTTATCAAAATTCTAATGGAAATTTTTTGGGTATACTTCAACTGATTGCGGAGTTTGATCCTGTCATGAAACAATATTTTTGGCTAATTAAAGACAAAGAAACTCATTATCATTATCTTAGCCATAAAATTCAAAATGAACTGATTCAACAATTGGCATTTGAAGTTAAGAGTGTGATTATTAAAAAAATTAAAGAGGCAAAGTATTTTTCCGTAATTCTTGATTGCACTCCTGATGCAAGTCACAAGGAACAAATGACTTTGATTATAAGATGTGTTGATATGTCGTCTGCTCCCTTAAGTGTAGAAGAGTTATTCTTAGAATTTTTGGTTGTAGAGGATACATCTGGTTTAGGTCTCTTCACTGTATAACAAGATATTTTAAAATCTCTAGATTTAGACATTAATTGTGTGCGAGGACAAGGTTATGATAATGGATCTAATATAAAAGAAAAACATCAAGGTGTTCAAAAAAGATTGCTTGATGTAAATCCTAGAGCATTTTATATGTCATGTGGTTGCCATAGTCTTAACTTAGTCTTGTGTGATATGGCAAATTCTTGTCATAAAGCAAAAACTTTTTTTTTTGGAACATGTCAAACAATATACAATGTGTTTGCTAATTCTACCAAGTGATAGAATGTTTTACTTGAGTTTATTGATGATTTGACTTTGAAATCTTTGTCTACTACCCGTTGGGAAAGTCATATAAAAAGTGTTAAAGCTATAAAAAGTCAATTTGCTTAAATAAAGGAAGCTTTATTGAAATATCTCAAGTTAGCGATGATGGAAAATTATGTAGAGATGTTGAATCTTTGGTAAATGGTGAACTTTCAAGTTTTGAATTTATTGTCAGTTTGGTTATTTGGCATGAAATTTTGTATAGAATCAACTTAGTTAGCAAAAAGTTACAATCTAAAGATATGATACTTGATGTTGCGGTAAAAAAACTAGAGGTATTGGTTTGTTATTTTGAGAAATATAGGGAGACTGAACTTACTTCTGCCATTATTGAAGCTAAATATATTGCAAATGAAATTGGAATTGAGCCTGAGTTTCCGATAAAACGTTCTTATTTTAGAAAAAAACAGTTTGATGAGATTCCAAATACGGAAAGAGAACAACAATCTGCTCAAGAAACATTTAGAACTGATTATTTTCTTGTTTTGGTTGATATGACTTTACTCAATTGAAGACTAGATTTGAGCAAATAAAAAAAATTTAATCGATTTTTGGTTTCTTGTTTGATGGGTCAAGGTTAGTTCATTTAAATGATGAAGAATTGAAAACTCTTGTATGAATCTTGAAGTTGCATTAACAAATGGTGATGATTGTGATATTGATGGGATATATTTGTTTATGGAAATGCAAATTTTACAGGAAATGTTACTGTCTGAAGCATATAAAGGAGAAAAACCATGGACATCAATTGAGATTTTGGAGTTTGCAAAGAAGATGGATATGTTTCCAAATGTGTTGCTTGAATATAGGATTTTGCTGACTGTACCCGTCACGGTAGCATCCGTTGAAAGAAGTTTTTCAAAGCTAAAGTTACTGAAGTCATATTTGCCGTCTACCATGAGTCAAGAAAGGCTATACAGGTTAGCAATTTTGAGTATTAAAAGTAAATTTGTAGCGAATGTTGAATATGAAAAAATAATTGATATTTTTGCTTCAAGAAATGCACAAAGACTATCGTTTTAGGTGATATACTTATATTTGGGGTTTTGGTTTTTATGTCCCCCTTTGTATTTTTCATTTTAATGAAATTGTATCTTTAGTCGTAAAATTGTATGTTTTGTCGTTTCATTTGCTTAAGGAAAAGGCAAAGAGGCATATTTTAGCATCTTCACACAGGGCATAAAAAACCTCAGGAACGGCACTGTTCATACAAATGCAATACTAGTCCTCTTTTAAAAATTTCAAATACTTTTTTATAGTTAATTACACCAATACAATACCATATATATATATATTTCAAAAGTGGTCTTCACTAGGCATGCCAATGGGGTGGGGATGTGACAGGTTTGTAATCCCCGACCCTAGTTTTTAGTAACAACCCCTGGTCCCGTCCCGGTTCCTGACAGACACAAGGATTAACATCTCGCCTCCGGTTTATTTTCTGATCAAACCCCGATCAAATCGGATAAGCTGTGTTCCCCATCGGATTGGGACAAATCACCATTCTTAGTCTTCACCACCACATTACAACTAAATTATAATGTATAATACAATTTTGTTCTAATATGATTTAGTGTTACATTTTAATAGATTATATTATATGTATATATTTTACTTTAATAGTTAATAAATAAATAAAAATTAAAAAAAAATCCATCAACTTCCATATTTTAAATGATTAAGTTGTTCAACTTTTTTCATTAAAAAAAACCATTGAACGTTTTTATTTTGAATAATTAAGTCTCTGCATAATTTATTTGAATAAATAAACTATCGAACTTATAAAAATCGGTCACCTACATCATTTTAACCTAAAAAAAACTACATGTAATCGGTTAAGAAGGTTTTAAAATAAAAGACCTGAATCAGTTTTATCTTTCTTAAATCTTATGACATTCAAATTCCTTGCGACCCAACGTCATAGCTCCCTCTGCCATCTATCGTCGTTTCGCTCTGTACCCAACTTATGGAGAAAAGACAACGATAAGGCGACAAAGGGGAGTGATGTCGTTGGATGTGACAAGTTTGAATGGCATAAGGTTTTGGAAAGGTAAACTTTATTTAGATTTTTTTACTTTAAAAATTTTTAGTCGGTTACATGTAAAATTTTTGGATTAAAATAATGTAGATAGCCAAATTTTAAAAGTTCTATAGTTATTTATTGAAGAAAAAACATGTTTAAGTAACTAATCATTCAAAATAAGAAAGTTCAATGGTTATTTATTCAAGAAAATAATTTAAGAGCTTTCAAAATATGAAAGTTTAATGGTTATTTATTCAAGAAAATAGTTTAAGAGCTTAATCATTCAAAATAGGAAAGTTCGTTGAGTTTTTTTCAATTGTTCCCTAAATAAACTGTATGCAAATATTACATTTATTAAATATTTTATTGGGATATCAAATCTGTTTGGTTCAGACAGGGAAATAAAACGACATGGAATAAAAAATGGGAATAAATTTTCATTCCTCCTAGTTTAATCTGGAATGAAAATTTAGGCTTATATGAGAATATGCTCATTATATTATATAAAAACAAACGGTTTCTTTTGTTTTTATTCCTATTAATTACTGTTTAATACCTCTAATTAAACATCACTTAATTGTTATTAATATTAAAAATAAAAATTATAAAAGTTGAATCTGATTGTCTTTTTGACATTTTGATTTTTAATTTTTCAATTTAGAGAATTTTTAAAGAATTGTAGATGATATTAAAATATAATTACTAAAATTATGTATATTCTACAAACATAAATCATTCATAAGATGTCTTATTGATATAGATATGATAATGAAAAACTAAGGGTCTGTTTGGTTCATATTAAGGAATAAAAATGAGGATGAAAATGATAAGGAATGAATTTTCATTTCTCCCAATTTAACCAGGAGTGAAATTTCAGGCTTATAGAGGAATAAGCCCATTATATTATAGAAAACCAAACAGTTTCTTTTATTTTCATTCTGATTGATTACTGCTTAATACCTCTAATACCTCTAACCAAACACTCCCTAAACAAATAAAAAGTGATACATATATATATATATATATATATCAACTCTTTTTTTAAAAGTATATAATGTTTATACACGACAAACTTTATATAGATTCCTCATTTTTAATGAGACTTAAACCGTTCACATTTTCAAAGATATTAGCATTTACAAACAAGCCCAGTTCGTTAGACCAATAACCCTTTAGTATATCTCATCTTTTACCGTCAACACACTTCAAATCAATTGTAACAAGACTTGATAACATATAAACATGATCATCCATATACATATATATATATATATATATATAGAGAGAGAGATTGTTTCAAATATAACCTGTTGCATTTGTATAACCAATGCAACCTAATAAATTGAGATATTTATGAAAATAATAAAAATTCATTTATTATGATATGAATATTTATAGAAGCTGAATATGGTTCATTAATTATGATCAATACTTTATATTAGAAAACAATCAAAACTTCTATGTAATCACATCTTAATCAAATGAAATTGACAGTTGATATTGAGTTATATTGGTTGTACAAATGTCATGAGTTGTATAATAACCAACCCCTCTCTCTCTCTCTCTCTCTATATATATATATATATATGTATATATATATATATGTAAATATTTATATATGTATATATTCTTTCTTTTTTTAGGTTGAAAAACCACGTGTTTGACAGAGTTTCCTGTTTCCAAGCTGTTTGAAGAGTTCAAAAATGCTAACCTCATTACAAGTATAAGAAAGTATCCTATACATACGATCTTCAACATATTGCAAAAAGAACAAAAAAGGACCCTCAAAGTATTTGTGCTTTACTACGCCTCAAAATGTACACAAGTCCTCAGCAACCCACCCACAGCTTTTACACAATCGCCAAAAATTCCCCTGCACAATACAAACAAATCCATGTCAATATCCGACTGAAATATAACACTCTTAACATCCCTCTCAAGCCTGGCATGGGATAGACATGAATCCAAGCAAGTTACATGAGAAATTATGTTAGAGGATTTAGGGGCCATGTGCATAACAAGGACCAAGTAAGACCCGACCCTTACCAACAATCCACTTTGATAGTCGAGGATGTTACATGATTACCGCCAAAACCCGTGCTCAAAAATAAAATAAGTGACGATGATTTCTCTTGCCGGTAAGCGTTTGGTAAGGCCCTTTAGTAAAATAAATATCAAACATTTTATTAGCATAAACAAATTTGAGAAATTTTGTTTCACTTGAGCACTACATATTTCTCTTACCAAAGTAAAGACAAATTCAAAACCTTTATTTCTTTTCATGGAAAACAAGACTCAGAACACCAGTCCATGTCAAGATTGAACTAAAATGTAACATTCTTAGCATGATCGTACCAAACATCAGACTTGACAGTCCCACCTAACGCGCCCTTAGTAAACTTCTACCTTGAAGATCCGATTCCTATTTTGACATTCATCATCGTCAATGTGCAAAATTTCTATGTAGAGCAGTAGATGGTAGAGATATATTAGCCTAACAGGTAAGGAGGATTTACCTTCCCCAAGATCAAAATGATTGTAGGACTGGTACAGTTGAGGAAGGTGGAGTTCATGAGACACATATTTTGGCTGTTAACCGTTGGCAGAAAAACAATCTGATATCGGCTGCCACTCAACAGATTTTGTTTTGCACACCAACAACAGAGAAATGACCCAACCATTGCATATTTAACAAACATTTTGCAACATTTAAATTGCTAAAAGTAGCTGCATAATGCGCAAAAGATGCCTTAATCACACTTCAACAAGCTATAGCTACTAAAATTGTCTATAGAAATTTCTTATTACTATACAGATAATATTTAAGTTGCATTAGATATATATCAAGTTAAATTCAAAAGCGATGAAATTTCTTATGTTTACGAGGGTTCAACAAAATATAAACATTAAAACCAGAAAGATATGGACATTCACTTGGATTAAAAAAACATTGAAATCCTAATGAGAAAGGTTTTGGATGTGGAGCATGCAAAAAAGATGCTTACAGAAGCCACATACCCCCACAATTAGAAGAATCTCTCATGGAGGATGGATGGGCCGTGCTCCTCATACTCGGTCTTTGAAATATACAGCTGATTCAGACAAAATCAATACAGGTTAGGGGTTGCTTACTAAACACTTATTGCCTCTTACCGGGTAAGAGATGATGATCCTTACCAACAATTCTATCGTGATTGTATCAAACCCCGTAAGTGAGGTAGACGTTTACACTCTAATTATTTTCCCATAGTTAAGAGATGACTCTTACAAGGTTAAAGCATACCGGGTAAGAGAAACTTATACTATGCTATTTTGATGACCAAGTCCGGTAAGGTAAGCAAGGGTGGTTTTTAACCGGTAAGTGCTTATCCGGTTTGTGTTGGTAAACGGCCATCACAAATTTATCATATTAATAATATTTGAGACCAGTGAAGATTTTGATCATACCCTTGGGAAGGTACTGAGGCATGCAAGCATGGATCCACCAATCCAAGCACTCCACCTTCTCTCCGGGGTTGCAATAATCCTCTTCCTCAGGTCCGTAAGAGGGCACTTCTTCTCCTGCCTGTCAAGAACGGTGATTTCCTTCTCCATCCTGTCAGCAAATCCTGGTAACATGGTTGAACCACCTGTGAGAATAATGTTGTTGAAGAGTTTCCCACAGACATCAATATTTAGTATTTTAGCACAACACTTTCTGATTGTGCTGTAAACCATTTCATGGATGCCGAGACCTTCCCTTCCGATTAAAGATGGCCGGAAGAGGACCTCGGGGCAACAGAAACGTTCTGCTCCGATTGCAAAGGCTTGCCCATCCGGCAACAAGTACTCCTTTGTGGCAGAGGAGCTCCTCTCGAACTCTTGCTCACAATTACCAGCAACATAACAAAACTTATCTTTAATGTCACGGACTGTTTCCCGTTCAGCGATGTCATAACCTCTTTCCGTGAGGGTTGTCATCAGATAATCTGTAATGTCACCACCAGCAACATCTACACGGGTCATGGCTTCAAAAAAATAACCACCTATGAGACATGGCACCGCGTATGACACACCATCCCCGGAATGAACCGCGATACCTATGCAATTTTAAACATCAAGCATTGGCAATTAAATAATGACCAAGACTGTAAAACCAAGACGACTAACCAGTCGTACGACCACCGGCAAACATGGAAAGCCCAGCCTGGAGAGCAATATACATGGCGGGAACTTTGAAGGTCTCAAACATGAGTTCAGCCATCTTCTCTCTATCAGCCTTGGGATTTAGAGGTGGCTCAGTTAAAAGCACAGGATGTTGTTTAGGATCAACACGAAGCTCATCATAGAAAGTGCGATGCCAAATCTTTTCCATTCCATCCCAGTTCTTAACAATTCCACGCTCGATAGGATATTTCAATGAAATGGCATGTCTTTTGGATTGACCCTCATCCTGGTTCATGCCTACCCTAACACCAGTGTGATGTGGTATGTCTACGATGCTAGAAAAGACTGCCCTGGGGGCATCCTCAGCAGCAAACCCAACCTGTAGATTTAACAACGAACCAAACCAATTAAATCCAAATATAGGCACAAAGTTGATCTGAATATGTCTATTCTAATGCTTGTTGGTAATGAGTGTTGAACCCCAACAATGATGATAGATCGATTTTACTTTTCTATAGTCATAAATATAACAGTACCAATAGCTGAAGCAAATAATACAATGAACCATTACTTACCTTCATCATTCCAGTTCCAATGTCACAAACAAGGGGCTGATAGTTGGCCATTTTTATACAACTATACATCAAACATCAAAACAAGATCATCAAAAAAAAATTCTTTTCTTTGCATGAAATATAACCAAATATTTCATCAACACAACCAAATCGTTAAACTATTAAAACCCCAAAAATCAGTTTACGTTCTATTATGATGAGATATCGACGAGGATTCCGTGAGAGATCATTACGTTAAACCCCTAAAAATCGGTTTACCTTCATCATTACGTTCTATCAGGGCCGGTCCTAAGATTTTTGGTGCCCACGGCGAAAAGTCCAAATGATGCCCAATTAAAAACATCCAAGTGCGGTAATTGTCTAGCTTTTTCCTTCATAGACCGAGAGACCCATTAGTGTTTTTTGTTCATAAATGTGATCTTATAGTTGAGTGTTTGCTTTAAAATAATATGTTAAGGTTTCTTTAATCAAGTTGTTATAGCCTTTGCGTTTAAACACCAACTCATCTACTTGTCCAAAACCAAAATAAGGAGCATCATAACACTAACTCATCTACTTGTCCCATTTACTACATCCCACGTCTTCTATATAAAGCAAAATCAACACTAGTACCTTCTCAATCCAACTCCAAACACTTAATTGGTTGGTTCTTCTTCAATTATTTACACTCTACAACAGTGGCAGATGCATCAAGAGGTGGTTGGGGTCCTGGGCCCCCAACAAAATATATTTTACAAAGCCCAAAAAAAATTACTTGTAGTTTTTAATTTAATACAATTGGGCCCCCAACAAGAAAATTTTGAAGTCCCCACTTCCATTTCCTTCTTCATCAATCTTCACGCACGCCTTCAGCCCTTGCCCTTCACTTCACCACTTCTGCGCTTCAGTCTTCACGACGGACCGTGCAGGCGCTGCATCGTGCGGCTGGCTGCTGGTTGCTTCTTCCCTGGCGAGGCCTCTAATTTGATTTGGGTAAAATTTTTGATTCCCAAATTCCAATATTTAATTTTGAATGGCTTTGATTTAATTTCGTTGTTTGCTTCACAATTGATGATTTGGTAAATACTTTATGTAAGGTTAATTTTGCAATTTTATAGACAAATGAAAATGTTAGGTTAATTTTGCAATTTTGTAGGAAAATGGAAATGTTAGGTTAATTTTGTAGGAAAATGGAAACGTTAGACAAATGGAAATGTTAGGTTAATTTTGCAATTTTGTGTTGAAAAGCAGTATGCAAGACAATTAAAGATCCAAGTGTTATTTGTGAATTATAAGATCAGGCAGAAGGAATAATTCCTAGTTGGTAGGTCTCCTTGGGTACTCATCTTAAGAAGAGTACTAAAAGATTAAAACATAAGCCTCAGAAGTCACTCTCCACCACATCATTGCATTTCAGTAAGCAGGATACTCAGTACCACACATGAAAAGGTAAATATACAAGTCATATTCACTCAACAAATATAAATTGTAGGGTCAATGCCTCGCTTACATCAACCGCATCAGTTATCTTTATTCGGTTAACCAAACAGTTTAAGCTGAAAATGAAAACCCGAAACCTTTTTTGGTTCGGACGAATTGTTCGGTTTCGAAATTTTTTCGACCCTCCTAAGTGTGCCCCCAACCATAATAGTTTCTAGATCCGCCACTGCTCTACAACATCAATGGCTCATTCCTACTTCACTAATTTTGTCCTCCTAGTTTTAGTCACTTAAGGTATTTGCCTATGGAATTAGCTATTGCATGACTCCGTTAGTCCATCATGTGTTTCATATAATCATATTTAGGGTCTTAACCAATGACAATCATGAGTTTCATATGTAAAATTGCAAAGTTAAGGGAGAACAGTCAAGTGAATTAGCAATTGCACATTTAAGTGAGGGCAAATCATCACTTAACTATTGCACATTTATAGGTTTGTTCAACTATATTATAGCTGCTGAAATTGTGTTAATAGACATAAAAATCTAATGGGATTAGAACAAAAATAGGTGGATGATAACTTGAATATTAATTACAGAATGAAGAACTAAAACTCCAAAGATAGGCTTGATTAATTCGATGAGCAACTAGATCAATTAATAACAATAGTATTCATTTAACTTTAAACAAACATAAAAAGTATAGAACTTATGCCATGAACAGCAAAMCTTCAGTTGAAACCCATGAACATAAAAACTTACTTGTGCAGTTGAAGAGTCAACCTAAGAGAAATCAACAATGCAAGCTTTTGATAATTTCTGCAGCAAATTACTTTCCTCTACCTCTTTTCCTGTACCTAGGCTGGGATTAAAGAAATAAGGAATATCAATCTTACTACTGGGTACAGATAAGTTTGATGACATACGCAACAACTTACCATGAAATGCATAATGAACCTATTGTCTACAAAAAACAAGTTTTTATGGTTTTGGATCTTGCTATGTAATGATTAAAGTTTTAACATTTGGGTAAACCTAAACTAAACAAGATAAGTTAAATGACCCTAACCTAAACTAAACAAGATAAGTTAAATGACCCTAACCTAAACTAAACAATTAAACAAAATAACCTTAAATCCCTAATCTAAACAAAAGATCAAATCTTCAAATAACAATCTAAATCATCAGATTTTGAGCGGTCGAGAGGCGAGAGTCGACTGCGGAGGAACAAGAGGTTTATAGTCTTATATACATCTTTGGGTCAACCAGTCAACCACCCAACAATTAACAAATGGTAGATTGGCAGCAAAAGGCATGGATTTCAGTTAGGATTTAGGCATACATGATACATTAACATTATACATACAGTGAATCAGTGATGCAGAGTACTAGAAACACAAATGACAAACCACAAAGGACCAATTTCACAGCTTCATCCTTAGGTTTTGCAATGAAACAAAAATCAGAAACATAAAAAATAAAATAAGTAAAGTAAATAACCCTAACTTCACAGGTCACAAGATGCGAGAGCGAGAGGCCGAGAGCCGGCCGAGAGTCGAGACTCGTGAGAGGCAGAGAGCGAGAGCCGATTGAGTCAAGGCCGATTGCGATTTCGATTCGTGGATTGGTTTATGTTCGTGAGTTCGTCCGTGAGCGAGGCGAGAGTCCAGGGAGGACGAACTTTGTGAAGGCCGATTGAGATCGAGATTGAGATTGAGATTGTAGTGGAGACATTATTTTTAGGCCCAAATTAAAATTGAATTGGACTTTAGAAAATTGATGTTTTTGGGCTCTATGCTGCTCTGGTTCGTCACTCTTCGGGCCTATAATCAAGGTCGGCCCTGTGTTCTATTCTGGTGAGAGATCGACAAGTTTAAAAAACTTACATTCTGTTTCTGGTGAGAGATCGATGAGGGTTCGTGAACGACGCCACATGCAAGAGTTGTAACAGACCGAGTAATTGAGGTTGGGCCTGGTTGATAAAAATAAGTAATTCAGGTTGGGCCTGGAATAAATTGGGATAAAAAGTCTCATGTTCATCACTTGTTGATAAAAGTTCAGGTTGGGCCTAAATTTGATTGTAAGTTGTAACACAACAATTATAAATAGCTTTAAGAAATACGAACATAGCCTTTGCTTAATCTAACATCACTTGTTTATATGAGTTGATGGAAATAGCTTTACAAACTTCCTTTTCGTTTTTTTCTTTCTGATTTTAATTACGTTTCATCATTGTTCTGCCCTTTTTAGTTCCCTTTTCAGGTAGGTTGCGATGGAAAAAACGTTTATATTCACAATTCCCATCCCAAAATACAAATAGATGAATTCATGCACTTTCTTCATACTATGAGTTTAACAGAATATGTGTTTACATGCAAAATGGAACCAAAAGAAAACAATTAGATAAAGTATTCACCTAGAGAAGAATTAAAGTGAAATCAAAATCGTACCCGGATAAATCGATTCCTGGAAGAAGACGATGGAGAAATCGATGAAGTTGGTGATAAACTGGAAGGAAGAAGATGATGAAGTATGGAGGAGATGAAAATGGTGGCATACTACAAATTAGGATTAGGTTTGTAATTAGATTGTAAAAAAAAAGGTAGTTTTGTAATCTTGTTACTTAGTTCATGACCTATTTTGGTGGAACAAAATTTTTTAAGCTTTGTCTCATGAAATCTCACTTTTATCTCAAGTTGCCCATCTCATTTTTGTCCCATGACACACCAAACATGGAGTATTTTTTTTTGTCTCGTCCCGTCCCATCCAGAGTCTGCGTACCAAACATACTCGATTTTTTCAGTGAATTTCCATGTATGGTACAATCGAACCCCTTTTGACTGTAAAAGAATATGTGGAGCTCAACATGTCGGGATAACATCCTTTTAAGCTTTTATTACTATTTCATTTCCATTTACAATACAATTTTACATGCATTGTGCGGATAAACAACAAGAATGAAAGTTGTAATAAACGATATCTGGACAAAAAGAAAAAGATGATATAGTCATTGTAGATTTGTGGGACATCTAAAAATATATATTATTGCACTGTGATACACTTCGTAAAACAACAAAAATATACATTGGGATACACTTTGTAAAACAACCGCTGCCTGAAAATACACACCGTGATATACTTCATTAGAGTTGTAGCATGGATTCTTCGAGATATGGGTTCTATTGCGTCATCGAGGTCTCAGGCGAGATTCGGTTTCGGGTGCATCAATGAGGTCTCCGTCGAGATTTGGTTTGTAGTACACCGGCTAGATCTAGGTTATATCTCCGGCGTTCCTGAAATGGAGCGATGGCTACCAGTGACGATAGATATTTATTAAAAAGATTTTTTCACAATAGAAACACCGATATATGGATAAATCATAGACCACAACATTTGAAATATTGGTTCAAGGTGGTGTGGTGCTCATGTGTCTAGGTAAAAACAGAAGAATGTAAAAAAGGTACTTGATATAATTTAGACAACGAATTTAGAATTACTTAAAAACATTTTGTATTAATTAAAACAATACCCTCTTCGTCATAAATTAAATATTTACAATGAAAATAATTCTCAAGCGATTTCATTCCTTCTTACTCTACTTTGCGTCACTTATCCAAATGAGAAGGACGTATAGTTTTAAAAATGTGTAATTATTATATTTTTTTAAATACATAAATAACACTTTTACCCTTGATAATGAAGAGAAACTTTCTCTTGCTCAACTTAAGGGTAGAATTAAAATATAAAAACTTATTTTAGAAAATGGACACTTATTTTAGAACAAGCTAAAGTAAAAAGGTGGACACTTAATTTGAAATGGAGAAAGTATTTGCTTAGTTTTCGTCCAACTCGCAAATTAAGGCACTATTCAAATAAATGATAGGCTCAAAATTATTTTCTTATTTATTTTTAAATACGTACTATTTTCGTGTGAACCTCTTTATATATATATATATATATATATATATATATAGGTGAACATGAGTATTTTTGGGAGAGATGTTCAATTTATTTTTTACATCGGTTACAAATCGGTAATTGTTCATTCATGTTATAGTTCATAGAATCATCCGTCTTGAATTATAAATATTGTATTGAACACTTATGAATAAATATGAACATATATGTCACTTATTAACTATCTTAACTCATGACTTTCATATATGAACATACGAGAACACTTATGAGCACTTATATACACATATTAAAACTTATGGATATTAAAGTAACTGGCTTTCACATGTGAACATTTTAATATTTGATCAAAGTGTTTCGCTTGTGCACACAAGTTTACCAAATGTTAGATGTATATAAATATTGGTTTATGAACACATTGGAACACGTGTGAACAATTATATACACCCTATGAACATTGGTAAGCACTTAATTTATTGGCTTTCACATGTGAATACAATGTTTCCTAATCATAARATCTTCAATMTTCTTATATTGTGCTCCACCGTATTCACCCATGTTTGTATATCTCGATTATGAATATTTATCTACCGAACACTCCTCCACCACTACTATCATTTAATACATCAAACCCGGTTGTTTGATGTGAAGAATGATGTAGATTACATATATGTTGAAGATTGAACATCCAAGTTTCTTATCATATTAAAACAACAAATCACCAATAATCTGGAAAAAAAAAATAAACATATTATTTTAGCTAAAATCATGAATTGATGTTTTGTAAGCGTCCATTAATAAATATGAAGTTAAGACAAAAAATAAGATTACCATTGTATCATCAATATTAAATGCATGGTGATAAAACAACCTAATCTAACAAATGCTTGTGATTGATCTAAATGGTTTGTAGAGCTAATATTTTTTTCATGGTAAACAAATGATCTTAGCTCTCTCACTCATTAACTTTTTTTATACATAAAAATATGCATTTGTCTTAGGCAAACTGCAAATGTTGATTCGTTTTTTCGATCTGATCATATCCGAAAGGAATGAGGTGGCTACTACAAAGTTCAAACCAAAAATGTGTAGTTTGATTTTCCATCTCAAATCACTCGATATAGGTCAGAGACGACCAATATTTTTTTTCAAACAGTGGCATCGTTTGATTATAATAAACAAATATCATGATATTTTTTACATTATCATAATTGGTCTCTTGGTTAGTCATTGCTTTTCATATGTGAAGTCTTTGTGTTCAAGTCTTTTATTGCAAATTTTTGCAACGGGATTCGAACCCCGGTCCGGGGTGGAAGAAAAACCTTATAAACCAACTCTGCTAACAATAACTTGTGTGTTTATTGTAGTTTTAAAATATATATGGTGACACACAACAAATCGATACGGTTGCACCTTTCACGAACCTAAATTTTTTTATATTACAACGAAGACAATTAAAACAATAATACATGCCATATAACCATTGAGCTAGGTCTGCCCCTGATGGAAGAGGAAACATGTATGGTACAATCGAACCCCTTTTGACTGTAAAAGAGTATGTGGAGCTCAGCATGTCGGGAGAACGTCCTTTTAAGCTTTTATTACTATTTCATTTCCATTTACAATACAATTTTACATGCATTGTGCGGATAAACAACAGGAATGAAAGTCTTTAAACTATATAGATCGATCTATGTTTACCAAAATAGGAACGGAATGGAAATACATTACTTATACAATTTTCCCATGTTACTCTGCTGGTATTAAGTCCTTGTAAGAGACACTCAACAAGATACGCAAGTGCTTGGACTTTTATGAACATGTCATTTAAGGGGGCCTTTTACCAAACATTTACGCGGTAAGCGTTTATGGGTAAAATTTAACACTATCATTTACTTACCGGGTAAGCGCTTACCGTGGTAAGAGTCGTCAATCTCACTTACCGGGTAAGATTATTGGTCCTTGTCACATTCATCCAGTAAGGTAACGTGACTTGGTAAACGCTTATCCGGGTGGTAAACGGCCCCTAAGAAGGGGGCTTTTAGGTGAGGTTGAACAAGCTGGATAACACGTCAAAACGGATACTTTATCTATCAAATTTATAAAAAAAATAAAAAAAACAATAATAATACAACTTTTTTGAATAAACAGATCTAGAAGGTTGAATGCATTAATTTTGGGCAGCTTTCAACCCGATCATTTGATCAACTTTCAATCCATGTTGAGTTGTCACACAACACCGTTACATGTATTCATAGAGCCCAAGTAGAAAAGAAAGAAAGAAAGAAATACAAACTCTGGAAGCAAATTGTGATCCATCTTCCTACAATCTCAATGYGCTGCTGGTGGGGTGGGGTGGGTGGGTTTCAGTTCGATTACAACTTTATGGTGATGAATATCAAGTAAACGTTCACCTTCAAATGTTAGGATTTGGCGCCTCCTAGCTGCCATCAGTGTCCCAACCAATGCTTCGAACATGTTTTCACATTTCTCGTCGTTGAAAAGAACACCGAATGTGACCTTCATGAGCCGGTTACAGATTGATGAACCATAAGATATTCAATCTTATATAAAGACAAGCCAGTTGAGGGATTGAGAGCCAAAAGCTTAAGAAGCAATGATCAAGGTCCCACAAATATCAATTGCGAATAGCTTTTCATACCAAATTAATGGATCGTTCCATAATTCCAGATGAAACCTGGTA